TGTGCAGTAGTTTGAACATTCTTTGGCATTGCCTTTCTTTGGGATTGGAATGAAAACTGACCTTTTCCAGTCCTGTGGCCACTGCTGAGTTTTCCAAATTTGCTGACATATTGAGTGCAGCACTTTCACAGCATCATCTTTTAGGATTTGAAATAGCTCAGCTGGAATTCCATCACATCCACTAGCTCTGCTCGTAGTGATGCTTCCTAAGGCCCAGTTGACTTCGCATTCCAGGATATCTGGCTCTCGGTGAGTGATCACACCGTGATTATCTGAGTCGTGAAGAACTTTTTTGTATAGTTCTTCTGTGTATTCTTGCCACCTCTTCTTAATATCTTCTGCTTCTGTTAGGTCCATACCATTTCTGTCCTTTATTGTGCCCTAGACACTCCTTTTGTATGGGTGACTGGGAGGTTTAAGAAATGAAAACCTTTCTGGCCGTGAGCCACCACAACCGGGTTTGAAGGCATGAGTCTAACATGGGATGTGGGTGTAGCAACCTCTTCAGTGACTACGTCTCCTTCCAAATGACAAAGACAAACAGAGGAATCCAGAACCAACACAAAAATACCTCCAAAGTCCTAATGACGGGAAAAAAAAATGTCTGGCCCATGCTCACCACGTGGCTGTTATTTCCGTCTGTGGGCTGGGCCAGGGAGACACTCCTCGTTCGGTTATCCCTGAGCATGGCTGTCTGACTGGAAGTTTTGTGAGCTGGTGCGGGGATGGCTATATCTGGCCTCTGGAACGGAAGTTACTGAGATGGAGAGCGCAGCTTTGGATCATAGGGTTTGAGCCCCTACCAAAGGGAGGGAAAGCCACTTACCCAGCTGAGCAAGCCAGGGGGGACAGCCCACCTGACCCGTTTGGCAGGGTCACGGGGAGGTCTGCAGGGGAACACTCCACACAGTTGCTGGGGGAGCTCACCTCAGCCCCACGGGCCTGCTGTCCCTGGCTGATCCGGCCAGGAGGGCTGGCATGGGCTTGGCTAACAGCACCCGCAAAGCGGGATTTGATTCAGGCTGCGTGTTCTGCTTCACTTAGCTCGCGGCAGTCTAGGCTGCCTCTTGGTATTGTATTCATGTAAGTTTCTCTCTTGTTTACTAGTTATTATTCATGTGGCCTGTGTTTGCAACTAGGCTCCCCAGTGGCTCAGTGGTAAAGAATCCACCTGCAATGCAGGATACCTGGGTTTGATTCCTGGGTTGGGAAGATCCCCTGGAGGAGGGCATGGCAACCCACTCCAGTATTCTTGCCTGGAGAATCCCATGGACAGAGGAGCCTGGTGGGTTCCAGTCCATGGGGTCACAAAGGGTCAGACACGACAGAAGCGATGACTTAGCACACAGCGCACACCCATGTTTGCTACAAGATTATGAGTGCTTTGGTTTTACCTTTATGACCCACAAAGCTTCCACATGCAAGGATATTTTAAATATCAAACATATGCTAGGTTGTCCTCCCCTTTTTTGCTTTGGGTTATGTATATATAGAATAAATTATTAAATCTTCAGTTGTGTTATAAAAAAGAATGACACTCGAGTCATGAAAGAAAAACAAGATTATTGTTTATGAATATACCACTAAAATATGCATTTTGTAAGGCTCATTGGTTTATTTCCAATTGGAGAAACCACATAGACATACAAAATGGTTCATTTGATATTCATTATACCTCCTTAGCTGCTTTTATTAGAAGTGCCCATGGTGCCAATGGCAAGGTTGATGTTTTCAGGGCTTGAATCAATGCCTGAAACTCATCAATTCTTATAGGCAGTTTTGGTTTAAGGTATTTTGATGATTTTATGAAATGTTTTACCCTATTAAAGAGCCATAACTTAAACTGTGATGCAGGGCAGGCACACAGTAGATGATAAATGGCTTTGTGTAAGAGATTTCAAATTTGTCAAATCTGCATTAAATAACTATATTTGAAATCGGTTAGAAGGTTGGGTGAATTCTCCAGGTGAAAATGACATTTGTTTTATGGATCCCTCCAAAACAATTCCCCCAGAGTTTTCACTTGAATAAATCACATTCGAGTTCAGTGCTCCAGAAACAGCTTGCATTGTAAAGTTGCATTAGCTGCTTCTCTGTTTCCTCTTTGTAGGGAAAAGCGCTTGATTTCTTCATTTGTAAAGAAAGTGGAGCTAGATAACCTGGAGTGAGAATCTTTATATCCTGTCATTCATTCATTCATTCATTCAACGGGCTTCCCAGGTGGTGCCAGTGGTAAAGAACCTGCCTGCCAATGTGGGTTTGATCTTTGGGTTGGGAGGTTCCCCTGGAGGAGGGCATGGCAAACACTCCAATATTCTTGCCTGGAGAATCTCAAGGATAGAGGAGCCTGGTGGGCTATGGTCCGTGGGGTCGCAAAGAGTCAGACACGACTGAAGTGACTGAGCATGCACGCAAAGAAACAGCAACATACAAAACTGAGATCTTGTTCTCGTGAAGATGACATCCTAGAAGGAGAAAGACAATAGACAAATAAGATAATTTCATGGATTTATAAGTGTCCTGAGGTGGTAAAGGAGAGTATTGTGATGTTAAGTTGGGCAGGTGCCCCCAGCCTCTCTGAGAAAGGGTCATTTCAGCCAGGAAGAAACCAGGTGAGTGACCCTCCAGAGCAGAGCCTTTCAGGAGGAGGGGCCCGCCAGGGCTGTGGGGTGGCAGTGCAGTAGCATGCTCCAGGAAGAGAAGGGCCTGAATCTTCTCCTTTTTGGCTGCTCTGGGTCTTTGTTGTGGTGAGTGGGCTCTCCAGTTGCGCCGCTCGAGCTCAGCTGCCCCATAGCCTGTGGGATCTGAACTCCCTGACCGGGAGTCAAACCCATGCCTCCTGCATTGAAAGGTGGGGGGGTTCTTAACCACTGTACCACCAGGGAAGTCCCTGAGGGTTTCCTTGTGGGTCTTCCTCCCCCATCTCTAGAACTGTTAGTACTTTGCCGCACAGAAATGAATGCGGCCCAAGGGGTTGTGGAAAGTGTCCAGAGGGAGGCAAACAGGAGGGTGGCAGGCCCTGGGGTTGGGTGTGGGCTGCCATGTCAGGGTGCACCAGGGGGCACTCTGCTGCGGTAACGAACAGCCCCGCATCTCAGGGGCTTAACTAAGTATAACCTGCCTGTGTCACGGTCTGCAGAGGGTCTGACGGCTCCCATCTGAACAGGGAGGCGGATTCTTGCCATCTCATGTCTCCACCATCTTAAAGTCCGTTCTTTTTCATCTCAT